CACACACACACACAAACACACACACACTGAAAGCCTCAATTTTATTTTAAACAGACAATATTTAGATTAATCACAGCAGAGAAGTCACAGTCTAATTATTTAAACTAATGATAGATGAACTGCGTTCAGCTGCTTCGACTACAGGATCTTGCTGCTTCACTCTGTAGGGCTGTACACAACTCCACGAAATTTGAACTAGAAGTTGTAATATTGTGCAACATTTTCATATAATTTGAAGGGTAAAAAAATGTATTCAGCTGCAGTCTTTTCAGTTTGCTAGAATACTTTAATATAAACAATGTATGGCCGTTACAGATAAAGATATAAAGAAAACAATTTCGGAGGCTCATACAAAATGTTCCTGCTTTCTGTAGATGGATGATCATAATTATATTACTACATCCAGGTTATGTAATCTTCAATGTTTTCTCCTCCAAAGTGAATTGTTACTCATCTCATAGAGAGAGCATCAGTCTGACCTAAATGAACTTAAACTACTGTAAGATTAGAATGATGCTTCATCAACTTCTTTTCCTTTTTTCTTTACTCATTCCCTACAATTGTCTCATTTGCTCTTCTGATATGTCAGGTGGCGCAGCAGTACACAGAGGTCAGCTACATGAATCGAGAGCAGTTCAGTAAAATGTTTGATGAACTGGATAAAGATTGCATCAAGGAGGTACAACTGTGTGCACAGACTCAGTTGCTTCAATGATTCTTTCAGAATTACATTTCTCTTTGTCATCTGTTATATTCTCTGACTCTATGTTCCTTCCAGCACCCTCCTTTACCTCAGTACAGATCTCCAGCCCTGCAGAGACTCCAGGTGATCTTCAGTCACTACTATCTCACTATACTTGGCAACGCGGTGGCCCTGGCCAATGTTGTGTGCATATGTGTAAGTTGCACAAACACAATCACACACACACACACACACACACACACTGATGAAGCTGGTCAGTTTATTTTAACACAATGTTTATGTTTGTTTCAGACTATCTTGGTGTTGAATTCCGAAAAGTCCACAGCAGAGAGAGACAACTTCATTTTGGAGGTGAACTCAGTCATAAATTGTTTTGTGGGAGTTCAACATTCTCAGAGGGCAATTCCTAACATAACTTTGCTGCAGATTTTAAATCCTGATGTTCCTGATCAAATCTTTCAACCACACAACCATCAACATCTAAAGAACTGACCTTTTCTCAGCAACTTTATATTGAAAATCCAAAACCTTGTTCCTAGTCAGTGTTGATCTTCTGAAATTCCAATGCAATCATGTTGAAATTTTCAGCACTTATGTATTATGGATTTACAGTTTGCATTGTTGAACCCTACCAAAATGTAGTTTGTTAATAGCAAAGTGTCAGTCGGTTATATCAACGCTTTTTTGTGGTGTGAAGACATTCCAACCATTTTAAAGTTGTCAACATGAGCTACCAATAGAATGAAGTAATTTACCCTCCCACTGTCCCACTGTCAGATCATCAACCTGTGCTTCATCCTCTACTACCTGTTTGAAATGTGTGTGAAGATCTTTGCCTTCGGCTGGATAGGATACCTGTCCTACAGAAACAACATCTTTGATGGCTTCCTCACCATCCTGTTATTGGTAACATTGCTCAAACATCAATCACTTATTCTCTTATTTATCATATCACAGCTGCTGTTTATTCTTATGTAAAAAAAAAAAAAAAACTTACACTAAGGGAGATGAGACTTTCTATTCTGCTACATCACAGCACTCCTGAGTCCAGTCACCCACAATATCTTTCTTAAAGGTTTTTTGTCTGTCAGGAATCAGTCTGTCTTGATGTATGTTTTTCCCATCAGGCCCTACAGATCACCATATTCATCACCTACAGGCTTCCTTATTCCCAGTGGTGAGCTTGAATTTTCCTTCTTTTACAATAAATGTTTGTAACTCAACTCCTGTTTGCTCTCATTAGAGGTACCCACTGGAAATGCTGTGATGACTACCATTTGAGTCAGGAATTTATCAAAAGCATCTCAAGTTTTACATTTCAAATGTAACCTTTACTTAGCATGGTCTAGTTAAGAATTCGCTTTTAAGAGGGACACCTTGGGAGTGTTTCATAAATACAACCCAGAGAAGAAAGGCTTTTTTTAAAAAATGAAAACCAGGTACTGGATAAGGAAAGAGAACCAGGATTGAACTGTTTCATAAAGCCAATTTTAAAGCTAACCAGAGTCCAGTCTGATTTAAAAAGTTGACTTGAACTGACTAATTTGCAAAATCAAGCAGTGATTATCAATTTAAAATGACATTTTGAAGACAACTGCATTGATTGAAACTTTAAAACCACAAACACACCTCAGGCCCATAGTCTCAGGACCTCTGACGGTGTCCTGTAGTGTCTGGATGTTCAATCCCATGGGCCACAATGTGGAGTATCTGTGGTTCAGACTTGTTCTACAGCATCCTGCAGATGCTTTATCAAATTGAGATGTGGGGAGTTGGGAGGCAGGGTCCATGCCCTGGGCTCTAGGTCATGTTCCTTGAGCTGTTCCTGAACAGTTTCTGCAGTGTTGCAGGGTGTATTGTCCTGTTGGGGGAGGCAGCTGGGAGCCATTGCCACAGGGGAGGTGTGTTTGATCTGCAGCAAAGTTTAGGTAGGTGGTGTCAAGGCAACATCCACATGAATACCAGGACCCAAGGTTTCCCAGCCACAGTTTGCGGTGGACCAAGATAATTAATGTAAATTCATTCCATCTTTTGGTGGTTTTGTGGCTGGTTGGTGTAAAACACTGAACATTCTGCAGCAAAAGTTAACACAACCACTGCAAATTAAAAAAAAAAAAAGAATGAGTGCAACAGTCAGTGAGTGCAACAGTGCTGCACACAAGTAGCGATAACCTCAGTACTTAAGCGTATAAAAAAAAGTTGACTGGAATTTTGCAGATACATAACAAGAAATGAGCTCAGACATTAAGAACAGAAAATGTGGCAAAATCTGTTGTGGATTACACAAAACTCATGTTGACAAAGCAGCAGACAAACCTTCAGTAAGAATCTTAAAGTCTTTGTTTCAGTTGGGCAGATTGTTGTAACAATGGCGCTGCCTGAGGTCAATACATACAAAATATAAAATTAGAGTGTCTTGTTTCCACTAACTGTTGCAAAGTTCTAATTAGGCCTTTAAGCGTCACTCCTGCTAATATAAATATAAATGCATGGCACAATCCAGCTCAGATCAAGCATTACAGTTGAACAGCAGTCAAAATGTGGTTTTAGCAGCTGAGAAGAGGAAACATAATACTGTACACACGACAACTTTAAAACCACCGACAGGTGAAATGAAGAACACAGATCGCCTTGTTGCAGTGCAGTGTTCTTCTGGGAAACCTTGGGTCCTGGTATTCATGTGAATGATACTGTGACACATGCCACACAATTCAACGTTGTTGCAGATCAAGAACATTCCCTGTGACAGCAGCCCTCTCCAGCAAGACAATGCATCTGCATGATGCGTTGAAACAAGCCTGATCCACGAAGGCCCCACAGGACCCAAAGGATCCACTGCCAACATCCCAGGGCCGCACACCCTTGGACACACTCAGAGGTCCGGGTCTGTGCCCGAGTGGGTTTAGAGCAACACTGGTCTGACTCATTGGATCTAAACTGCAGGTACAAGCCTGCCATTGGCTGCTCATTTCAAGTGGCTTTGTCCTGCTCCTCCACTATCTGTATTTTATTACTTCCAAAACCCACTTCGTTATAGGAAACAACAACTTTTATGCTAACTGCAAGTTTTAAGCTTCTCAGAGGATTTAAGTGATGCAGTAAGACAGTCCTGCTAGTCCCCCCCTTAAAGATGTTCTTAATTTCATGGGTTAATTCATGGGTCTATAGCTCATTTTGTGTGTGTGTGTGTGTGTGTGTGTGTGTGTGTGTGTACAGGGATCCCTCCACCCATGGTGTGATGTCTCTATGGGAGATGGTTCGTTTGGTTAACATGCTGATTGTGTTCCGTTTCCTGCGCATCATCCCTGATATCAAGGTAAACTACAAGTGGCGGAATGAGGACGCTCATCTAGTTTGAATTCAGCCATCCAATCAGACAGATTATTTGTCAAAAATTGTTGAATCAGAATGCTGTTAGAATCATTTGTTATTAATAATTATCATTAATTCAGTGATAGTGATAGACAGAGGACTGTGACTACACTACATCACAAAAGTTCACAAAACAATTTAAACAGTTTTGGAAAAAAAAACAGTGCTCAGATGAATGGAGTCCCACACAAGTCAGCATTAATTAAATAGAAATAAATATTCACATGAATGAATTGTGTTACATACTGTATTTAAATGTAACAGTAATTGTTAAAAACCATAGCTCATTATTATGTTATTTTACATTTTGTATTTGTTATTTTTACATTATTTTAATACGACTGCTTTTGAGTTTATGTTTGTTGCAGAATAAAAACATTCCTTTCAAAAGTGTACTTTTATTTTAGAATGGCATTTTTTCCCAAAGATGCTGTCTTGCAGCAGTTGGGTTATTGATAGTAAATTTAGAATAACTTTGACGTTGTTGTTGCTCCAACAGGAACTAACTGTACTGATTGGATGAAAGTTGATAAGGTAAAATACCCAATGTGCATAAATCCCTGAAACACTGAGTTCCAGGAAAATGTGCTTTTCTTAGTGGCTAAACTAAACAACAACAAATATAAGGCCTTTTCCATACCTTAATTAAAACAGAACAAAAACAGCTGATACTTCACATATTTAACACTGCAGTAACTGTAATAACACAAAAAGCAGAGATGAAAAAAGAACCCCCAGTAAAACACCAAATTATGTCTTCTCTCACAACACAAAGCTTCATTTACAGATGCTGCAGCCTCATTACAATACATTTCTGAATGTTTACGTCTTTTTTAGCCTTACCTATGTGCATCTTGTTCTACAGCTCATGGCTTTGGTTGCAAGTACACTGTTGGATCTGGTTAAAAACCTCCGAGCGTTTGCAGGGATACTAGTGGTAAGTGACATCGCCACATTTCAGTCAGCTGATCTGCAGTTCAGTTTGCCAGAGATTTGATAAAATAAAAAGTCCTTTGTAGATACAGGTTGTCCAAGATGTTGTCCAACCTCTCTGGCTCCTAAAACTACCAACTAAAACCACCTTTTTCTAGGATCCTATGAAAGGCTTATCAAACAAAGGTTTTCATACAGTGACATTTGTGAAGTAGTTTGTATGTTGATACCAACATCATTGATCTCTGTGCAGGTGGTGTACTATGTGTTTGCTGTGTTTGGGATCTGGCTGTTTGAAGGTGCCATTAAACCTCCTCCAGGCACGAGGTATGAAGTTTTCTTCAGGGAGCCAAACAAAACACAGCTCATGGCACAAAGCTCTTCCCCACCCTTTTGTTAGAATAATAGCAGTGTCCTACTCACCTTGAAACTTTGGAAATGTTTCCCACAGTGGTTGGTTGTAGAGCAGAGTTACAGAACAGGGCTTCTTTCTGTATATAATCTGTGATTGTAAAGACAATTTCAAGGGCAAGCATAAAGAAAAGACTAACCAAGAAAGAGAATTGTTAAACACACCCCAACCCCTCAACCAGCCATAGTCCCCCCCTTCCTTTTCAACTGGTTCATTCACAGTATTTTTTTCTTAAATGACCTGATGAGTGGATTCTGTTTCCATACAAGTGGAGAATCAGAATTAAATGTGAAATGTGTTGTGCTGTAGGTATTTAAAAACCTGTGTCACTGAAGTGGCATTGCTGGCTGGCTAAACCTGTATGTTAGAGACAGGCCTAGTGAGTCATTCCTGATGGTGTGTGTGTTTGTGTCTGTTTCCCAGTGTGCTCTCCAATACTTCTATGCAGAACATCACCACTAACTTTAGCATGGAGTGTGGCACCTATGAACAGCTGGGCTACTGGCCAAACAACTTTGACGACTTTGCTGTGAGTAACAAAACCCACCAGATCTGTGTTCATACTGCTGCAGCTGCAGTGATATACACACAAGGAAATTCAGAATAATAATAAAAAATAGAATATAATCCCCCCCTCCCTCCTTCTGTTGTTCAGGCAGCCATTATTTTGCTCTATGACGTCATGATAGTGAACAACTGGCAAGCCTTCATGGACGCATACAGCAGATACACCACAGAGTAAGTGTATTATACATGCACAGCAGCTGTTGTTGGTTCTAACAGTTACTGTAATAATGATGGTGTTCTATGTTTCCCAGGTGGTCCAAGATCTACTTTGTATGTTGGTGGCTCACCTCCTCTGTCATGTGGGTCAACTTGTTTGTGGCGCTCATCTTGGAGGTTTGTTTGCTCAAATACAAGACACATTCATTCTTTCACATTCAGAAAAAAAACACAAACACAGACATAGTTCCAGTCAACAGTTTAACTGCTGCACAGATCACAGCAGCATAACTTCTCTTTGTGTTAGACTGACTATAACCTTGCGTTGCCACTGTCTCCACAATGCTATGTCAGTGATGAAGAATTGTTTGGCTGCACCTCCTTCTTATAATTAAAAATAATCTGGATTGCTGTTGTGTATTAAAAACATTCACAGGCAGATAAATCCTATGTACACTACGGAGCCCCAAAGAGCAGATTGCCAAATCAGCCAACAGATGACTGTTGCCGAGCCAAACAAACAAGCCAAAACAACAAACAATGAATGTATCCAAAGCCTTATTTACCTTCTGGCTCTGTGCCACAGTGCTCCATTGCTGTTCAAAAATTTTATGAGCCACACTGTGACATTGAATGATTTGTTCCTGCATTACAATGAACACACACGTTAGAATTTGACCGAACTCCACATTCACTTTCATGCTGCCACAAATACTCACAAGAGCAATAAATGTATGTTAACCTGCTGCTGAGAATAGTAAACCAACAAATGCCCCACTTCCCTATGTTTGAGTAAAGTTTGATAGAAGAAATTAAAAAAAAAAAAAAACAACAAAAAAAAACTAACCGAGCCTAACTAACTAACCTAAAAACTAAGTAGCCAGCTGTTTTAGGAATTTCCTCATTTGCTTTTAAAAATGAAAGTGCCGTATACATTATGTAGTTCTTGGCCTTGTGAAATGTGCTAAAACTTGAATTCCCTTTTTCTTGCTTTCTAACAGAACTTCATCTACAAGTGGGATCGCAGTCACAGCTGCTCTGTTACAGATGTGGATAGGATAAGATATGAAACCTCGGTTCAGTTTATGTTCAGGTAGGTCCTAGTGCTGTTTTCTTTGAAGTCTTAACTAAAGTCGGAACTAACAAAAAAAAAGAAAAAGCTGTCAAACCACAGCTTACTTCTTGTTCTTGTCCAATCACTTTTTCTTTCACTGTGATATACCCCCTCTTTCTCTGCAGGGAGCAGGTCCAAGAGCCAACAGAAGAGGAATTAGTTTGTCAGCTACACCAGCACCCCCACTTACACCTTCAGTGGTGACACACCGATCTACAACACAGAGTTAGGACACTGCTACTGAAGTGTAGCACAGGAGCACTGAAGGGTCAATATTCAAGCTTTCTACTACTAGGTTATTTTAGGTATGTTTTATTGTAATTCCTTTTACTGAAACAAGTAGAAAGGACATTTTATTTTATTATTTGTCTTTTTGTTTGTGAGTAAAACCACTGTGAGCTACAGATTCATTTGTACAGAGATTGCCAAAATACTCTATAGCATCTATTAGAGTATTTGCAGTTAGTCTACAATCAAATCAAACCTTAAATAAATCTAACAAAAGCTCCTGCCAATTTCACATTTGGAAACAGCCAAAAGAAACTTCCAGATGTTACTTGATTTAGTTTTTTGTTTTCAAGGCTATTGCACGACTGTCAGCAAAACCTAAACTTCACTGTAGAGGTGAAAAAAAAAGTGACATCAGAATGTAGTGTTGGGAAAATCCCTCAGAGAAGCCTTGTACGGTTGTACAAATTGCACTTTCTCCAGCGCTGTAATTGTAATGATGAATTTAAGGATTGTCACCAGCTTTTTAGAAAAACTTGTGCTGACTTGTTCTCCTGGAACAAATTTAAGTTGTGAGCAAAGCTGTGAGTGTGAAAATATTAGCATCACAGAAGAGGACAGTTCTGTGGCCAAACTGCAGTCATATTATCAGGGCAAAACCAACCTCTTCCTCTGCAGGGGCAGCAGGGAATTTTGTGGGAACTACCTTATTAACAAACAAATTTCATGGTTTCAGGCATGTTTCAGAACATGACCTGTCCTGATCTGTTCTAACAACCTGACAGTCACATCCAGATTCACACATAGTTCAGCATGTGTGATTAATTGTAGCAGCCCACTTCTATCAGGCAGGATTGTCCTGATGGTTGAAGCTTGTCACCAAGTATTACAAGGAAACAAGGAATACTATTTTACTGGTATCCTACACTGATTTCCCCTTAATGTTGCCCCTCCCCGCCAGCAATGACAAAGATCAAATACAAAATACTATCCAGCCCAAACCAGTGAACTCAATTATTCTAAGTGTGTCAAATTGCTGCCAGTCTCTGTCCTTAAAGCTTTGGCCTGTTCTACTAAGCATTATGACGAGCAGCCTGCAACATAAGACTCCTTCATAGGATTCAAACCAAAGTGGATGCAGTCAGTGGAAACACTTTCCTGTTTGAAAGGGATGGAGTTCCGAAGTGTTTTGCAGTGAATGACTGTTTGACTCTGTGTTTGCAGGATATCAGCAGTGATGATAAGGTTGTTCATGTCTGCTTTATTAAGTCTGCCTTCAAATGTCACAGGTGCCAAAGATAAATATGGATGTTATGCAGCAGTTCCATGAAATGTCCATAATACTCAGTTTTTTCAATTATAAATTTTACTTTTCTCTAGAACCCTCAAAAACCAGTCCCTGATTTCTTAACGGCCTATGAGCTGATGATACTTTTTGAGACAACCTGCTGAGGCTTGCGGCTGCTTGCTGAATTACCATCCATCTACAAGATGGAGAATTTAAGGTAGTAAATAGTATTAATATATGAACCCATGTTAGGTATTTGTACAATGGCATCTGCTTCGAAATCTGCGCATTGAGACATGTTGATGTGTTGTCAGTTGGTAAAAAGGGAAAAGGTTACTCCTTGGGACTGAGCCCTTGTGTTATTTAAAGGAGAAGACACAGTGTGCCTTGGCATTTTTAAAAACACAGTTTGATTTATTTTATTTGTAGAAAAGGTTTTTATAGAAAGTATGGTTGATTTTTAAAGACACAGAAAACAAGCCAGAAAAACCATTCAGAACTAATGTGAAATAAATATTTTGTATAAATTCAAGACCTATTTTTGTGATTTTATTGATTTGTATCTACAGAACATCAACATTTTGGCTTTAAAGTAGGAAACCAGCTGTGCAGGCAATCCTCAGAGTTGCTGCATTACCCCTTTCTCTGTCTGGGAAATTTTCACTTCATAGTTGGCACAGTTGAATTGATGATCTGTATTTCTGCTGGTTTAAGTCTTTGTAGTAGTTGTCTGAAAAATGACTTGTTGACAGAGCATCTTTTCAGTAATTTGTGCAACACTGGTATTCTCCATGCTGAGAAGAATTAACGTTGTCATCAAAAATAAAGGTGATCATGTAAGGAATTTAAAAAATAAAAGATTTTAATCTTGCTAACTTCAGATGTACTGACTTTTCTTGCATCAAGTACCCACTGTATGGCCTGTATTTTAATACTGTAAATCTACACAGTTAGTGTTTAATTTTACATAACAGCAAATACTTTCTTTTCAAGTAAGAGGTAATTCAGTTACTGTCAGATGATTCAATGTTGAACCATTTGACATTTAAATGACGTCACACATGAGTGTACACTGTACAGTCTGATGGACTTTAGCAGGTCCTCAGGAAGCAGAAGAAGAGGAATTCCCATTATCAGTTCTTTTGTGGAAAACAGCAGCCATTATAAACTTTTTAAAAGACACTGATGTATTTTTGTTCATTTTTGTAATCCAGAGGTTTGCTTTCTTTTTCTTATTGATTTGCTGCATAATTATCCCTCCACACCAGCAGCTGGCGGTAATGCACCTGAACCTTAGTTTGCAGACACCAAAGAAGAAGAAGAAGGACGTATAGTAGATCTGGGGTTGCACTGAAAGCCCGTGTGTAAAGCTTTTCTCGACTCGTGGAAAGAAAACGGCCACATGGACGGTGAGTTTACTGTTTGAGGAGAGAAGAAAAGTTATATTTAAAGTTGGTCCGTCTGGGCGCCAGTTGAACGGCTCGGTTCCCCAGTGTCAGCTGCCGAGCGGTGGCTTAGGCTGAGAGTCGGATGACCTGCTCAAGAAAACATTAGAACGTTTGTTTGTTTGTTTGTTTTAAATAAACATCTCTATAGTTGTGCTGTTACAAGAGGCTGTTGATGATTGTGACAAACGCGCAGACGTTGACATTGGGACTTGTCAACTCCCCATTTATCTTTAGTTACCACTGTAACAATGAATTTGACGATATAGTCGTCAAACTGCATCATGGGTTTGCTGGTATGTGCTGGTTGTATGTGACTGGTTAACTTAGTGTTATAATTAACTTGCAGGTGGGGCTGTCTGGTGCATTAAAGGTAGCACCTTTTTAACATGACCTCAGCAGTAGTTTGGTATTTCCATGCTGTAGTATCTTGTTACTGTTTTAATACAGCTCTCCAGTCCTGGACTAACCACAAATCTCAGCTGAAGCCACTGATATTTAACATTGCCAGCAAAGTTACAATCCCCAGTTAGATTCTTTTCAGATGCCTACAAAGACTGACATCTTATTTTCAGTTCTTGAAAGAAGGATAAAACAGCAATCAGGCAATCCCATGATACTATACAGTATACTGCATGTGGAGTTACATATACAGTTAAATTAGTCAAATGTCATCAGTTCATCATGGAGGTATTTTTGTCGAGCAGTACATTGTCAGCTTCCACCTTCTCAAATATGCAGATTTATCCCTTGTTATATTGTCTTAAACTGAACATCTGTGGGACTTTGTTAGTTCAAGATGTTGTCAGTAAAACTAGAATGTCAGTATTGTTTAGTGCGTTTCCTACACAGCCCTGTGTCTGGCTGCTATGCGCTGTCATGGCCTAAAGACCACTTCTGTGTTCCCGTCTAGAGTTACAGTGATTTCCTTAGGTTTCGTGTAATACTCAATTTATTTGTCCTTACAGCTGAAGCACTTGTTCGAGCCACCATCCCCCATACTCTGGAGAAGGTTCTTGGTGTTGAGGTGAGTCGATGCTCCTCAGCAGAGTTGTGCAGTGTAACAGTGAACTGTGTAATCCACATATACAAATGTTACGTGAAATCGAGAGCTGAAAATTTGCTGTTGATTAGTCAACAGCAAAATATCTGCAACTATTTTGATCATAATTTAAAAAAAAAAAATTGTTGAAGTCATTTTTCTAGCTAAAAGGACTGAAACAAGGAGCTCGTTGCACGTTAAACATGAACATTTAAATATGATTGTATGAATGGTAGTAAAATGATTGGACTGTTGGTTGGATACAACAAAACATTTGATTCTGTAAAATCAACTTCCTTTGTCACTATTCTGACATTTTATCCATAAAACAGTCAATAAATTAAATCAGAAAATAATCAGTAGATGAATTGATGGAAATTAGTGTTGCTGCTCTGAAGGTATGATTGAAAAATAGACAAATGGAACACTGAGTAGGGCTGCAAGGTGGCGCAGTTGGTAGCACTGTTGCCTCACAGCAAGAAGGTCGCCGGTTCGTGTCCCGGGGGGTCACCGGGATCTTTCTGCGTGGAGTTTGCATGTTCTCCCCGTGCAGCGTGGGTTCTCTCCGGGTTCTCCGGCTTCCTCCCACACAGTCCAAAAACATGTTGGGGTTAATTGGTGATTCTAAATTGTCCGTAGGTGTGAATGTGAATGTGCTTGGTTGTCTGTCTGGGTTAGACTCCAGCCCCCCCGCGACCCTAGTGAGGATTAAGCGGTGTGTAGATAATGGATGGATGGATGGAACACTGAGTATACATTTAAAAGCTGAGCAGTTTGAGTGCTTTAGCGCACATACAGTGATGTAAATTTTCATTTGCCCCCGCCCGCCATTTGGTAATCCTCTATTTTTGCTTATTTGTCACCCTTTAATGTATTGGATCATCAAACTAATTTTAATATAAGACTATGGTAGCCCAGAAAAACACAACATACAGTTTTTAAAGGATGGTTTCATTTATTGAGGGAAAATGCTGTCCAGTCCCATCTTGCTCTATGTGGGAAAAAAAATCCCTTCTTAGCTGCCAATCTACCAAATTGCCTAATTTATTTGGCAATTGGTTTTAGTTTTACCAGCCACCCCAATGATTAATGCCAGGCTTGTTGAATCGACATGTCACTTCACTCAAACCTGTCTGGCATAGCTTTAGTGCACATTTTTAACTTATATAATCACTATTTATTATTATTATTTCGACCTCCCATCAGACAGGCTCTATCAAACCCAACAGTTTTATATAAAAAGTTTGACCAGACTGTACAGAGCAGCCTGTCTTTTATGTGTGTTCCAGGAAAAAAGACACCTGACATCTTTTCTGTATATCTACTTACTGTCATTGTCACATTTCCAGTCTCAGTCACACTCTAAAGCAGCAGCCTTCACTGAGGCGTTTCTGAAGAACAGCATTCAACAGACGACACGCCATGATCTGAAGAGCATGCTGACACACAAAGCTGTGATTCTGGGCTACACCAGGCCCAAGAAAGAGAAGACCAAAAGAAACAGCAAGAAAGCCAAAGGACTAAATGCCAGGCAGAAGAGGGCGATGAAGATCTTCCAGATTAAGCCTGAACACCAGAGGTAGGTCAGGAGTCTGAAGACTGTGACCCTAATTGTATCGGGAACAAAAGTGTTTGTTAATTTGTACATGACTGCATCAACATATTGTTGTAAAAACTGTAGATCACTTTCCATGTGATTTGTTTTTAGATCCTTGTCTCTCCATAGCATCACTTTCTCTGGCATTGTCATTGTAGATATGAACTTTTCCTGCCTCTGCAAGAACTCTGGAAACAGTACATTATTGACCTGTGCAGTGGATTGAAACCAACAAGGTAAATCAGTTTGGAGCGCCACACATTTAACATTTTGCATTATTTGCTTGTTTTAGTTACTATTTCCGATGCCCCCTCAACTTTTACTGTATATTCAGCATTATGTTGTTTTCACAGCAGTCCTCAGTTTGTGCAGCAGAAGCTTCTGAAGGCAGACCTCCACGGTGCCATCCTTACAGGTAGTTTGTTTTCTCTCTTAGGGTGACTCTAATTGGAAATGCTATCCAGTAAGCTTGCACATTTATCATTAAAAAGTAGTCATGATCATGATTTTGGCTTCCCACAATTAACTGAACATGATTAACTGTCATATTGATGTGTAAAATGCTCCTTTTAGAGAAAACAGTCCATGTAGTTAGAACCTCTTGGTTTTTCTCTTGGATAAATCAGATGTTAGTTTACCCTATTTCATTCTTTTCAAAGTAATTTGTGCATAACACACTCACATTCACACCTACGTACAATATAGAATCACCAGTTAACCTCAGCATGTTGTTGGACTGGGGTAGAAAGCCAGAGCACCTGGTGAGAACCAGCGCAGGCACAGGGAGAACATACAAACTCCACCCAGGCTGGGATTTGAACCCAGGACCTTCGAGCTGTGAGGCAGCAGTGCCTGGGCCCTAATAGGTTGGGCTGAGGGTGGGGATAAGGGATTAAGTAAGTTCCAAAGGAAAGCAAGGCTCCACAGCGCTGTGACTGTTTGTCAGCCTGGAAACAAACTGAAAGCTGAAAACTGAAAACAAACCTGGTATTGTTCTTGTTTACCTCAGTTAGAGATGAATCATAAGCAGTTCTTGTGCTACAGTGCTCTTTTTGATATGTAATTAAACTTTTTTTCCAAGCTCAGTAAAATTCTTCCAGATTAGTGGAAAGCCACTGCCTTTCCAGTCTTCTTGAAGTCTGCTTTAAGATGCACTCTAAATCATACCATGGTGCTTCTCTTCTATGATTCTTTGCCTTCTTTTTCAGAGGAGCAACAATCTCGGTGCTGTGTGCAGTGAGGCTGCATTCCTAACTGTCAAATGTTCTAGTATGCTTTGGAGGTTGGAGTCTTTGGGGTTCAGAGGATTAAAGAGCATCATCTACGTGCATATTTGTGAGCACAGGAAGCTCAGACACCGCTGTACTAATAGTTTGTGTTCTCTTCACCATCACAGTGGTTCGGTCCAAATGTCCATCATATGTGGGAACTACAGGGATTCTAGTGCAAGAGTTCAAACATGTTTTCAAAATCATCACCAAAGAGGACAAACTAAAAGGTTAGACATGTCTCACTGTCTGAATCTTTCCTTATGTTAAAGTGCCAATATTAGTCATTGAGCATTGTTTGTGAAAAAAAAAAGATATGTAACAGTAGAGCACAATGACATTTTTCATGGCAAAAAAAGCTGGACTGTAACTGATCACACTGGAACAACAGCATTCCATTTCATTCCTGTATCTCAGTGTGAAGAAAGTAGTGTATAATTAAGGGTTAAATAAGGTAATGATACATTTTACCACAAAACTATACAATACAGCTGGCATTGGGGGGAAGCTGTGACATTGGTGATATTTTAACCCAAAATTGTTGAGTTATGGCTCTACAAAATGGTCTATTGTTTTAACATCACTGATTGTAGGCTGTGATAACATTTGTAGTTTTACAATTTGTGTTTAAAAGCTCACATTAATAAGCATTTTGGTAAAAGTAAGCTTATTCATTTAGCCATGGGTGACCATGCAGTGACCGTATCAGACTCTATCATAGTTTAATGGCTGTTGATTCATACATCATAAAAGCTGCCACTTTTCAACAGGTTAACACATTTGTTCATGTTGTTTCTGAACCTACACTATGTGACAGTGATCCCGAAAAGGAACAGTGTGTTTGCAGTGGAGATCGACGGCTTTGTTTCACACATCTATGGAAGCAAGTTTGAGCAGCGAGCCAGCGAACGCTCTGCCAAGAAGTTTAAAGTGAGAGGAACCATTGACCTGTGATGGCACCGGGTGTCGCCACAGACTGCTGTGTGCCACAACAAGAGACGTTACATTCTCGCACAGCTGCTGCTCCTAGTGGCCATCGAAGCATCTGCGACAATAATGACCGATGTGTAGCAGATGGAATATGGTCATGTATAAAGGACACAAAACCACATCAGAAAAAGGACTGCTTTTTTTTTTTTCTTTCTTTTTTTTAATGAACTTGTTGACTTTGTTGCACACTTTGGACTTTCACACATAGTGTCACTTCATTTCAATAGTGAACTTTTTATGTGGAGTTGGAGTGAAGTGGGTTTCCTCAGGCAGGTAGGTAGTAAAGAGATGCTGTTGAGTTGAGTTTGAAGTGTAGTATCCAGTGCTCTGAAAGCTTGACTCATACCAAAGACTAAACTGTAGGATAAATGAGATTTGAGGGTTTCACCTCAGATGCATACTGTCTGTCGGGGCCTTGTACATAATCAGTGGGAGTGTCTGAGGCGTCCTACCCACACCATCTGACAGGCACTGCTGTTTCATGAAAATTGTTATATAAATGCTAGTGTTGATTATATTCAGTTGTTGCAGTATCTGTACTCTCTGTGAGAAGGCTGACGTAGCTTTCTATATTCAATTCTGTTTCTCCTGGACTCTTTAGGGCTAAAATGCTACCTAGTGTTCGGTGGAGCTGGGTATCAAATGTAAATATTGTCTGCAAGTGAACACAGGGTTTAATTGTTTTTACTGTCATTGACTTCCTGGTCAAGCTTTAAGTTATATTTGATACCTAAAAAGATACCGCTGTATCTGATGACTACATAATGACAATTTTGTATAGTTTTTCAAAAGTACATGATCAATTGAGGCAAACTTGGTGCAAAAAAGTCAAATAGAAACTCTAATGATTGGATATGAAAATGGAAGCTTTTTCTATTGTCAATTCTTCAAAAATAAATCAATGAAATATGTTACATTATTCACATGAACACTGGAGACATTAAGTGCTAGCAAAATATACATTGGGAGGCCTGTAGGATCAGCTTCATATCACTCAGTGTACAGCTGCATGAATAGAGTATGTTTACTTTAGAGAATCTGGGTCATTTGGATATAATATGTATTGTTTTGTACAGGTGCTTGCGATCCTTAATCCTGCAGTGAATCCACTACACTTCAATCAGCAATTTCAGCCAATTTTTTCATTCTTGCCAAATTCAGAATGCACAATGATTTGCTGGAGGTGCACGACACAGAAATTTTCTGCTTGAAAGGACCACGCGATGGGGCGTGGCTGTTAAAATGACATGATTTGTCCACATGTAGCCACGCAGCTTCGTCAAGCATAATATTGAACCCTATTTAATTTTTGTTCATACGTTCAAAACTGTAACTATACTTCCAGTTATTATTTATAATATTTCAAATGTGTGCTGTTGTGAGAGAAGACTTGAATATATGATTTCATTTAGCTATTAGCTGGATGGTGAAAATGTCTTTTCATGTATACATAAATACTATAGTATTTAGCCAGAATTGTATTTAAAATGTTTTTTAGCTGAGGTTGTTTATGTCATGGACAATAGAAGACAGAGAAAGTATTTGTTGAAACCACACATACGTGTCTTGGTCATTCAAAATTGTGCAGGACTTCCTTGTTCCTGTTTCCATCACAGAATGTGGAACATTGTGGGCTGTGGCCTTTTTTCTGTAAAAACAAATGCAGTGTTGAGTATCGTGTTGAAATCCTTCACCTCCGTCTGCTGTACGTCTCAAACATCCCTTATCCCCAAACTCTGCTGTATTTCCCTCAGCGAGAAAAGTTGTTGAACAATTTAACTGCTGAGTTTGAACCATCTCTGGTTTGACATTGCAGAGCTGCAGTTGTTCTTTGTAAGACAACTGTTTGCGATCATGAGAGGTTTCACTCAGATCAGATTACTGATCTAGATTAAAAGAACTGCAAAAGCCAGACCTTCAGGTTTGTATCTGTTTTTAATCAAAAATAGATGTCTGCTGCATGCCAGTGCTGTGTACACATAATGCAGCCTACAAAAGAAGTGAGTAAACCTCTGTGCGGTGTTTGTTCATTGTTAAATGATGACCAATTGTTTTACCACTCAGTTCTAAGCTGAACGGTGGAGTTTTTCTTCTGACCAATTAAAAACAAATACTGTAGATACTCTATAATGAAAGTCTAGAGGGCCGTACTATGAAGTAACATAGCCAAGTTTTCTTTATGTAAGTCTGTTCGACAAAAGAGAACAGGTGTCACAAAGGTGGTTTTCAACTTTCTTTGTTAAAGCATGCTTCCTGCTTCATACTCTGCATGTTCACATAAAAGGAGGAGTTTAATGTGTCATGTGACTCTTCTTTTGCACTAAATGAAACAATAGTGTGCAGAGGCTTCAGTCAACAAGTTGTTAAAATGTTGAACTATCAGCAATATTAAAATTTATGACTGTAAAAAGCGATGCTACTGAATGATGCCAGACAGGAATGCTGGTTAAAAACAAAAAAGAAAGAAAAATACTGTTAAACGTGCATAATATATTTTACCGATCAGTTTAATCGCTTATTTATAACTGACAGCTGCACATAAAAGATGTTACACACGTGGACAAAATTTTTGGTACCCTTCGGTTAATGAAAGAAAAACCCACAATGGTCACAGAAATAACTTGAATCTGAAAAAAGTAATAATCAATAAAAATTCCATGAAAATTAACCAATGAAAATCAGACATTGCTTTTGAACCGTGGTTCAACAGAATTATTAAAAAAAGAAACTCATAAAACAGGCCTAGACAAAAATGATGGTACCCTTAACTAAATATTTTGTTGCACAACCTTTTGAGGCAATCACTGCAATCAATCGATTTCTGTAACTGTCAGTGAGACTTCTGCACCTATCAGCAGGTATTCTGGCCCACTCCTCATGAGCACACTGCTCCAGTTGTCTCAGGTTTGAAGGATGCCTTCTCCAGACGGCATGTTTCAGCTCCTTCCACAGATGTTCAATAGGATTTAGATCAGGGCTCATAGAAGGTCACTTCAGAATAGTCCAATGTTTTCCTCTGAGCCATTCTTGGGTGTTTTTAGCTGTGTTTTGGGTCATTATCCTGTTGTAAGACCCATGACCTGTGACTGAGACCAACCTTTCTGACACTGGGCAGCACATTTCTCTCTAGAATACATTGATAGTCTTGAGATTTCATTGTACCCTGTGCCAGATGCAGCAAAGCAGCCCCTGAACATAACAGAGCCTCCTCCATGTTTCACAGTAGGGACAGTGTTCTTTTCTTGACATGCTTCATTTTTGCATCTGTGAACATAGAGCTGACGTGCCTTGCCAAAAAGTTCCAGTTTTGTCTCGTCTGTCCAGAAGCTTTGTGGCTTGTCAACATGCAGTTTGGCAAATTCCTGTCTGGCTTTTTTATGATTTGTTTTCAACAATGTGTCCTCCTTGGTCGTCTCCCATGAAGTCCACTTTGGCTCAAACAACGACGGATGGTGAGATCTGACACTGATGTACCTTGACCTTCAAGTTCACCTTTAATGTCGTTAGAGGTTGTTCTGGGCTCTTTTGTTACCATTCGTATTATCCGTCTGTTCGATTTGTCGTCAAATTTCCTCCTGCAGCCACGTCCAAGGAGGTTGGCTACAGTCCCATGGATCTTAAATTTCTGAATAATATGTGCAACTGTAGTCACAGGAACATCAGGCTGCTTGGAGATGGTCTTATAGCCTTTACCTTTAACATGCTTGTCTATAATTTTATTTCTGATCTCCTGAGACAACTCTCTCCTTTGCTTCCTCTGGTCCATGTTTAGTGTGGTACACACCATGTCACCAAACAGCACAGTGACTACTTGTAACCCTATAAATAGGCCGACTGACTGATTACAAGTTTGTAGACAACTGTGATGCTAATTAGAGGACACACCGTGATTGATTATGTCCCTATGGTCACATTATTTTCAGTCTTTTCTAGCGATACCCTCATTTTTGTCCAGGCCTGTTTCATGAGTTTAAAAAAAATAAAAATAAATTCTGTTGAACCACGGTTCAAAATGTCTGATTTTCATTGCTTAATTTTCATAGAATTTTTATTTATTATTACTTTTGTCAGATTCAAGTTATTTGCATGACCGTTATGGGTTTTTCTTTCATTAACCGATGGGTACCAACAATTTTGTCCATGTGTGTAAACTTTAAACTTCATATATTAAAACATATTATATTGAACTGCGTTTAGGTCTGACACTGTCCCATACTGCAGGATATCATATACAATGTTGGCCAAATCAAAGTGAAATTAAGATTTCTGATTGAATATCCTCCGTAATAAATACCAGTAGAATAATCCATTTTCTAATCTGTGTTTTATCAGCTGCAGTACCAGATGTGTAAACGAACTTGACAACAAATCAGAGCAAAACATTAAAACATATTTATATGAATTCTGCATTACCAACTAAATACATGTCGGGTTCCCATGGCAACACGATGTATACAATGTGAGAAACTGTAACTACACGGCCTCATTCAGGGACATTAGCAATTTACCGCTCAACATGTTTTTCAGATTAAACCTATTCCCTCAGCTGAGAATCTGTATATTTCATAAATAATAGTCAGGAAACCATTTGGTTAAAGGGAGACACTTCATCCAGCCGATTTAAATCCGAAACTCGGAACATAATCTGCTCCCGACCAGGTTAGCTCCACAGCATCAGTTACCATGGAGATCTAGCAGGTTAAAAGAGAGCCACCTTCGTTATACTGAAAAACTCTTACTTTAGGTTCAACATACCTCGACAATTTACTAATCTTGCTTCGTACTACAGCCCTCAGGTCTGAAAATAGAAACTCAATACAACAAAAGTCAATACACCTCTAATCGCTGAAACCAACATGAGTGCACATGTGGTTTCCAATTAGCCTGTCTGCATGAACATGGTTATAAAATGAGCTGTGAACATTTTTAGTTTTGGACACATACAATGTGTCTGTCTGGATCATGGCTCCACATGGACAAGAACTGCTGAAAAAATCTGAAAGTAAGACTTCACAAACTTGTAAAGGACTGACTGGGTACAGGAAGATCTGTGAGCAACGAGAATTTTGTGGAAACAACATAGCAACAGCAGTATTCAGGAGGTATAGATGGAGCCATAGTACCAGTAATCAGAGCTACAGCAGCTGACCTCTGAAAACATTGCAACCGACAGTGCACTACTTGCACAATCTAGCTCTGCAAAACAGCTGAGCAGAAATGCTTCAGACTTGTCATAGGGCTTATCAGTGGAAATCAGAATTTCTGTGACAGTTTGTTACTTGTTCTTGCTTCCTCTCAAGCAAAGTTTTCTGTTAAACAAAACTGCAAGATGAAAGTTTGCAAAAGAACATAAATTAAAAAATAAAATAAAAAAGTCTGATGAATGTTTAGAGCACATTCTTTGGTCAGATGAGACCAAGATAAATTTGTGTGGCTCAGATGGGTTCTAGCCTATTTGGTGTGAACCTGGCTAGGACTACTACAGTAAATGCATATAGTCCTGACAGTGGAGCATGGGTGTGGGTGTGTGATGATACAGGGCCGTATGATGCACCATGAATGTCTTTGAATAAAACAAAATACTGACTGACAAGATGACTTCCAATCTGCAGAAGCTTGACAGAAGAGGACTAATCCATATGATAAAACACAGTCCCTAAAAACATGCAAGAGTTTTTAATAAAGAAAAAAATAAAAATTGGGACCTTGCTAAGTATGTCACCTTACTAGAATTCAAGATGGTGCAACAGAACCCCTCCAGCAAAGAGCAGTCTTTGTCTTTGAATAATGACAGAACGTTGGTTGTCTGGTGTCCTCCATGCTGAGGAAAACTTAGTCTGTCATCCAGAATAAAGGAAGACATGAAAGTATTGAAAAAATAGAAAATCAGAATTTTAGAAATGAAAGATATACAGACTTTTGTTGCATATTAAGTTCACTCTGTGGGTCCAGTATTGTTTTTTCTTTAAGTTGTTGTTTTTTGGCCTTTGTGCCTTTATTTGATAGTGCAGTGTGAGAGAGAGAGAGAGAGAGAGAGAGAGACAGGAAAGTGGGGGAGAAGAATGGGGGAGGACGTGTGGAAAAGGGCCATGAGTGGGATTCAAACTTCTGACCTCCACATCAGGGACTGTAGCCCCTATACATGGGACGCCAGCTCAACCAGGTGAGCTATAGCTGCACCCAGGTCCTGTATTTTTAATAGCAAAATTCTGAACTGTTAGTTTTTCGTTTCATTTCTGAGGAAATACAACACTGTTCAACTTAGTAGTGACTTGCATTATTGTATTGTAGCATTATATTGTACAAAAGTGTAATTTTTTCTGTTGTGCACTGCCATATACAGTGTTGTCATTAATTACAAAAATGGGTGATTAAGCCAAGTCAGTGACTACATGGTCAGTACCTTTTTCACATTAAAGATGCTTTGCGTAAATCTCCCTTGTGTCTCATGGTTTGGTTACACGGGAAAACTTGCCCCAGTAAACATGGTAATGGCACTACTGAGCAAGTCACTGTGAAGACGTACAGGAAGAGGTGACACCACTTCCCTGTGAACTAACACTGTTGCTTTGCAAAAATGTGCCAGTAGTATTGTTTTGTCATTCTAGTGTAGGCATCAAATATTTTAATGTTAGTGTAGTGAAAGCATAGGTACAAAAATAAAATAAATCATGGCTGAATTCTATTTAGCTGTTTCAGTTTCTGGGTCACTGAAGACTAAATCAGAGTGAAAAGAAGACAGAAGCTCTGTGTACGATTATTATGTAACTATTGCAGTGCACATAAGGGCATCTGACTTCCCTTGAACTTTACTGTTTATATATATATATATTGTGCCTTTGTGTTTCTCAGTTTTTTTTTAATAAAGCTGAAAGCATGTCAGGAATAGTGTTTTATATTGCTTTAAATACTGTTTTAAATTTCAGGCTCCACACAGTCAGGACAATATATTGGCAAAAGTCACCAAAATGTTCTGAGATTTAAGTTTGGACTTTATTAAACACTTCATTACTGATCGCATTCCTAGACATTACAGATTTATGAGTTTACCGCTGATTCTATTACCTGTGCAAATTGACAGTAAACAGGATAAGAGGGCCCACTGATGCTTCACATAGGCAAGATTTTTGTGATTCATCAGTGTTGCTATGCCTGACCCTGCTGCCCGGGATGTGACTTGGGGTGATAACTAAAAGCTAATCCTTGTAGTAAATTGACACAGCCAGCTGCTAAAAAAAAAAGAGTAACCTAATTAGAGCAGCAGCTGCCAAATGAGATGACATACAAAGCAAATAAATGACAGAAAAGTTTTGGCAGCCGGTTACCAGTTTGACAACTTATGCTCTCCTGCTGCTGGCTGAGCTGCTCGACCAGTCTGACAATACTGCTGCTGTTTGTGGAACCATTGTCAGATAAGCTTTACTGCATTTTTAGTGTCTGGTCATAGTGGAAAATACTTCTCTCACTTTGGTGTGGTGGACTGTTGCTTTGTTTTGTGCTAGCTATATACGTTCTAGAGGCACTACACAGGTTATTACCTTCATAGTTTTATTTTGAATTAAAGTGATTGTTTGAGATTGGGCTGATGGTAAAATACAAATATACAATAATGAGATGATAATTAAAGTAGATAATCACAATGCTACCTCCTTCCACCTGCCTGCAAAAAGATTCACCACAGTGTTATATCAGCACATAGAAAGTCAAGTGTAAGTTTCAGCAAAGTCACTTCACCCTGAAAGGCTACAGTCATTGCGTAAATGCTGATATTTCCTCTCACAGAATTTCTTGGGTCATGTTCTCTGAATTCAGATTTAGATCCCGCCTCCTTTCTTCTTGCATAACGCGTGTCTTCCAGCTTATCTTACTTTGGAAAGCCCCACTGTGACATCAAGACCTGAGACTATAAATTCTTCTCTCATTCAAGAGACAAGACAAACACAATAACTCACACCAGTAGAGACGTGGAACTATCAGCAAAAACACTGCTGCTCTAAAAACAGACTTCTGTTGATTTGTGAGCAAGATTGAAAGCCATGGTGGACCAGCTGACATCTGCTCAACAGAACCGTAAGCGGATCCATGCTGTTGAGAACTCATTTGGGCCGTCGAAGAAGACCCTGTCACAGCCAGGCCGGATCCTGATCGGAGAAGGCAAGCTAATGAAGCAGAGTCGCCGGGGTCCACAGCCTAAAGTCTTCTTTCTCTTCAATGATATGCTGGTTTACGGGAGCATCATTTTGAACGGCCGGTGGCACAAAAAGCAGCAAATCATCCCTCTAGGTAAGAAGCTCATCTGCAACTCTTAGAACATCTCATCAGATGGACAAAAAGAAAACAGTCAGACAGAAATACACAGCAGGTAGAAACTACAGATGTTTGTTGGCTGGGGCAGGACTAACTGCACTAACTGGGTATGACTGGTCCAGCCTGACATGCCTGCAGTCTTTAGCAAAAAAGCTGTAAAAATGTCTACACCATTGGAAAGCTTTGCTCCATGTCTTTGTTTCCTTGTGTTAACAGACAATTTCTTATTTTTATTTTTTTTTTGTAATTTCAGAGGACATCCAACTGGAGGACCTGGAAGATAGTGTTACAATGAGGAACCAATGGTTAATCCGCACACCACGCAAGTCTTTCTTTGTGGCAGCTGCTTCCTATGAGGAGAAGCAAGCCTGGATGGAACATATAGAGGACTGCAAGTCAAGACTATTGCAGAGTGATAGCTACAGACCCAACTCAACCTTTGCCGTCACTTGGATTCCTGACTCTGCCTCCGCGATCTGCATGCGCTGCTCCGACAAGTTCACCGTGACCCAGCGTCGACACCACTGCCGAAAATGTGGCTTCGTGGTCTGCGGTGCATGCTCCAAGAAGAGAGCAGTGATCACACACATTCACCCGACTAAGCAGTTGAGGGTCTGCACCAGATGTCACCCCAGTCTTATGATGACAGAGGAAGAGGCCCAAGAGTCATGCCGTCTGAGGGGCGACAGCACTGGGAAAACAGGTTCAGATGAAGATGACCTGGAGGTGTCCAGTCAAGAAGACGAGGCAGAGGAGAGAATGGAAGATCATGATCCCAGCAAGTGGATGGACCCCCAGACAGGCTCCTGGTCTCCCTATGTCTACTTAAAACCAGAGCACTTGAGGCCCCAAAAATAAACACACCAAGAATGCTCAGGCAGAAGCTGGTGCTGGACTTTAGGCCCTTGCTTAACATAGACTCAGTGCACCGTGGAAATGTGGACACAATGCCTTGTAGCATTGTGCAGTAGCAGCTAGTTTAAAGACATTCAAGACAATATTTTGTCCATATATATATATATTTATTTATTTATGTGAAAACTGCTCTTTTCATTTTGTGCAAAAACACTACTGCTGTGAAGTCGTCACTTTATTTTCTGATCATGTTCTCTCTGTGTCCTCAGACGTTTTTGAATCGAATGCTTGAGATAGACCTCAGTCTGCCATGCTGTGTTTATATTTAATTCAGTTTGTTAGTCTAGTTTGTATGTGTCACTGTCAGTGTGAACTTAGTATCATCCTTATGTCCTTGAAATGAACAATAAAGCATGTACAAACCAGATAAACATTTTGTCTGTCGTTTTGTCTTGTGTGTCACTAGCAGGGTGTGGTGGTTTTCAGTAGAATTATGTGATGTTTTCATTGGAACAGCTATCTGGTGACTTAAAATAGGTCATTGTAACAGACTGGTAATTTCCCTTAGCTTCTGTCATCCTACCTAAGAAAAACTTGAGAATTTCCTTGTAAGCATTCCACATACTTGAGGCTGCCTTCAGACACTGCTCATTGTTCAGTCACAGAGCTGACGTCACTGTTCCACCTGGGTGACACTTAGTGAAATCTATTTGTTTTCATATTTTTATTCCCGATTCAATGCTTTACCCATGTTTAAGAGCATTGGGATTTTATGAATCAAAATACAGAATTACTGTGTGCCTAAAGTGTACAGCTTCGTAGAAATATTGTACCTTTTAATGACACAAATATGACACTATTGTGACACCTACTGAGGATTTTTTGTTTTCATTTCTAAACATCCATCCATCCATTATCTATACACCGCTTAATCCTCAC